GCGCTTACCCGGGGGCTGGGTTTGAGCTCGTTTAGACCTACGTGGACGGAGAACATCCCCATAAAATTTCGGCTTTCTAGCTTTTCTGGTTCGCGAGTTAGCAGCTTACCCGTAAAAAACTTTGGCGAGCTCTTACATGGGTATAACGCGGGTAAGACCGACTATTTTGGGAATGGGGGCTTGTACGTGCATGTAGATTAAGGCCTCAAAGTTTCAGTCCTGTAGCTCTTGTAGGTCTCGAGATAAAAAATCGGTACAGACGCGCAGCGCACACACTGACACACACACAAACACACAGAAACACACATACACACACAGACAACCTCTTGTCAAAATGCTTTTTCCGCATTGCATAGCTGCAAAAAACGCAGAATAACGGGCAAACGTTTCGTACCAGTGAATGTTGCTTACGGAAAAAAAGAACTGCCTGGGAAATTTCCAATAGTACAACACGCATATGCAGTGACTGTGACAGAAATAAACAGCCCTCTCTCTCACACACATAATTCCAAATCTAGGGAACACGAAATAGAAAAAAAAGATTAAAATCTGAGGTGGAAGAATCCACTTTTACCCTTCAAAATTATTAGAACTTATTTTCTTTTATAAAAATTTATTTGATTATTTAATTGCTTTATCAACAGCACGAACGTCGTACTGACGAGGTGCAGTTGCGGTGCTGAATAGAAATGTATACGACTTAATGGACCAAAACAATCCTGTCCACTGATTGTTTTTTAAACAATTTTATATTTTTATGTACGTATCACAACCAATTTTTGTGTGCGTTTGTGTATATATATCACGATATTTTTTCTTTTTTAATATTTTTATCGCAGTTTTTACGTCATAATATCGTCTTTTAATGCATTTTTTGCAGCTATACAATGCAGAAAACGCATAATGACGAGGGATTGTCTGTGTGCGTGTGTGTTCTGTGTGTCCGTCCGTTACGCTTTTTCATCTCAAGACCTACAAAAGTTACAAGACTGAAAGTTTGGGAACTTAATCTACATGCACTTACGGACCCCAATCCCCGAAATGGGTGCCATTACCCGCGTGGTACCCATGCAAGAGTCCGCCAAAGTTTTTTACGGGTAAGCTGCTAACTCGGGAACCAGAAGTGCTTGGGGACTGAAATTTTAATGTTCCCCGTCCAAGTGGGTATTAATGAGCTCAAACCCAGCCCCCGGGTAAGCATGGTGCCCGCGTACAAGCTCGCCAAAATTTTTTTCGGGTAAGTTTATAACTCGGGGATCGGAGAATCCAAAATGCTGAAATCTTAGGGAGGGGAATGTTCCCCGTCCAACTAGGCAATGATGAGCTTAAACCTAGCCCCGGGTAAGCGTGGCACCCAAATGCGGGTCCTTGAAAGTTTTCTTCCATTAAGTTGCTAACTCTGGAGCTAGGAAAGCTAAAAAGCTGAAAATTTCAAGGGGGTGTTTCCCGACACTTCTGGCGGCCAGTCTTAATTTGTTTAGCTAGAAGCATTTGCCGAAAAAAACCGATACTGACAGCGACAAAAACTGCGAGGAACTACGCAAAAAACGCATCGCCGCACGGGCAGCCCGTGCGCTGGCCAATTATTTATTTAAGGATAAGCAAAAATGCGACTAGAAAAAGTAAAAAGAAGTAATGACTGATATTTTTAGCGTAATATTTGTGTGAATAGCGCGAAACGAAAAAGGAAAGAAAGGGCCATGAAAACGATGACATTTAACTGGCAGGCGCTAATGCCAAATTAGAATATGAATAACGACACGTGCGAGCGACCACGTGACTTTACACGGAAAGCCACGCCAAGGACACAACCGACCGCGCAACCTCACGGGAATCCCAATACACGCACCTTCAAAGAAGTTCATTCAAAAAATGTCAAAATAAAGAAACGTGGTCGCCATGCAACACCGGCGTCTCAGCAGCTGTCGGTGGGCGGGGCCTGGGGGGTGTAGTGCTGCAACGATGCACAGTGCAGCAGTGTGCAGCACGTGCGTCGCGGCGATGCTGCGGCTGCGTCGCGGCTGCTCTGTCTCTGTCGTCTATTCAACAAATCATTGCAGTGCTGTGTTTATCGGCATTTTTGGCGGTGGGGAGGGGGTCTTTGTTTGTGGTTGACGTGTGTGCAGTTACGTGAAATGACGTGCTCACGTGTTTTCTGTTTTAGGTAGCGCGCATGGTGCAGACGAGGAAAGCAGCGGACGAGCAGCAACAGCAGCAGCAGCAGCAGCAACAGCAGCAGCAGCAAAGCCAGTTCAGTGGCGTCACGTAAGTGGAGTATGTCAAAGTTGCATCGCGCGAATTCTCGCTCCCCGGCATACGAACCAGGCTTGCGACCACACGCAACTGCTGCTGCTCGCTCACCATCTCCTGCCCCATCTCGATAGCCTGTGCAGCGTTGCAGTGACTGCATACTGCGCACTGCTGTGCAGCAGTAGCCGCTTGGCAGAAGCTGCAGTCACGGCTCCTCCCCCAGCCACCTAGCATTAGCTCCCTTACATCTCAGAAAATTTCTTGTTTTTTTGGGCCTATCGCGACCCTAACTGTTAGCCTATTAGACTAGTGTGTGTCCCGTTTGTATGTGTGTGTGTAAAACGTCACGTCCTATATACATGTTTATTAATACATAGTAAAAGGAGGTGAGACTCTGGGGAACCGAATCTCCCCAGAATAGGAGTATTAGTTATATAGAAGTAGGTCGCAGTAGTAGATCGGTAGTGGCGATCCCGGCGATGGGGAGGAGTGCTTTTATACCCCAGGGGGCAAAGATTGAAAGTTTAATGAGGGTAGGGTGGTTAAAGTTTGAACCAGAGACAGGGGTACTGTGTCATAGTAACGCAGTTGATCTTTAATCTACTTTTAACAAAAACCATTAATCATTATTTGATATATTACGCGACAGGCCATTACAAAACCCAGGCTGCAACGCACCGAGTTTGCCGATGCGATCATGCGTTTTTGCACTAAACTTGCAAATCGCTAACAGCAGGAATGGTTCCTTCGTTGCACTTTAACATTTGGACTCATATTGGTTGTGTTTTGGCCTCTTCTTGCCTGCAAGGAGAAAGGATGTCGGTTGGGGTGGAGGTGTTGCATTATGGGGGTAATTTTAGTAATAACAGTAGCAATGGTTATAATAGCGATAATGATAACAGCACTAATAACCTAGGCTGGAACGCACCAGGCGAGCCGGTGCGATCATGCATTTTTGCATCAAACTTTAAGTTGCATGAACGGTTGCTTCATCACACCTGCACAGTGCGCTCAATACCATAAGTCATCATAAATTTTGCATAAAAGGAAATAAAAAATTCCCGTTTAGCGATCGTTTTTATTTGAAAGTGACTCAGCTATTCAGTGAGTAATTTTCCCGCCAAAAATTTAAGTGCCCGTACACGAGAACCGCGCATGCCTGGGGGCTGAATTTGATAACTTTAAATTGTACATGGGCTGAGAACATCCGTTGAAGACTTCAGTTTCCCAGCTTTCCTGGTTCCCAATTTAGCCATTTTCCCGTCAGAAAGGTTTCACGGGGCCGTATATGAGAACCACGTGCGACAGAGGGCTGAATTTGATGGATTTATGTTGTACTTATGCTAGGAACATTCCTTGAAAAGTTGAAGAACTGTTTTGAACTGTTGAAGAACTGTTTTTATATATATGTAATATATATATTTTTTTTCAATGTAATTCGATCGTTTCATTTCAGGGATGAACAAGCGGTGGAGGCTAATCGAGCACTGCAATGGACCAATGGTTTGGCCTCGTCAAGTGCCTTCATCACGCTGGTCAGTGGCCCAAATGCCAGTTCCGCAGGCGCCGAATCGGGATCGGTCCCGCCGGATGTTTGGCATCGCACTGACAGCGGCGATCTTGGCTATGCCGGTCAGAGTAATACCCAGCAACTGCTTGCGTCCACCGAAAAAGTGAGTTCCTCTTTGTGTTGTAATGTATTGTATTCGACGAACTTCAAGGGAATTTTCCCTACTAATTTACGACCAAAATCAAGTGTTTGAAAGC